TTTGATTAATAGGGAATCTGCAATAAATAAATAAATAAATATATATATACATACATACATATATATATATATATATATATATATATATATATATATATATATATATATATATATATATATATATATATATATATATATATATATATATATATATATATATATATATATATATATATATATATATATATATCAAAAAAAATCACAACACCGAAATAAACTCTACCGGTTTCATTTTCAATCTTCAGGAGTTTGACAAAATATTGCTTAGTTACACATAAATACAAAATCAATATTCTTACTGTGACGTCAAAAAGCGCTAATGTGAATTTACGCATTAGTAAAGTTAATTATGACGTCATGACATAACGTAAGAAATTTAATACGGGAAATTAAATTTTCCATACAAATAATACAGATATAAATTGCGGGAAAAAAGTATATATCTGATACAAAATATAATTATGTAGCATTTAAAACAGGTTTATATCTGTTAATAAAAAGTTTTTCTTTGGTTTCACGTTCTTTTTCTGTGGTATCCCTTTGAAACTTGTAAAAGGGAAAAACGGTAAAGTTGGGACTTTTATTCTTGGCACAGTTTCTAATATGATCACTGACGGGGGTACATCGGTATTTTGGTTCCCTAATTTGCTGTCGGTGTACGGTCATTCTGTGTCTTAAGGTGTCTCCTGTCTGACCGATATAATTTTCACCGCAACCGGCGCAGGTAATCACATAAATTAGATTGGAACTAGTGCACGACATGTTGGTTTTAATATTAAATTTACTTCCGGTTTTGAAATGAAATGTAGATCCTTCTGTCAGGTATGGACATGTACTGCATCTGGAATTGTTGCATTTATTGATGATGGCTGGTTAATGGTTGTTACTGGAAAAAGATGCTCTGGTAAGGATGGATTTAAGAGAAGGGCTTTGTCGCTTGCTTTTGATAATCTGTGAAGTATCTAATATTTTCTTCATGTCTGGGTCATCTTCTAAGATAGGCAGGTTATTTCTTATTATGTTGAAAATTTCCGGATTTCTGGGATTGTGAGTTGAAACGTATGGTATAACATTATCAACGGGTTTATTTTTCACTGTAAGAAGATCCTTTCTTTCATATGCTTTTTTAAGCTTTTATGTATAAGCCTTTTTATACATTAGCTTACCTATAGCTTGAACTATAATGTCAAGCTAAGTTTGTTTTATCGATGCTTAGAATGTCTCCCTTTTAATTTAAGAGTGAGTTAAAAAGATCGATGTCTACATGATAAAAAAAACAATAATAATAAACAAATGTATCAAATAGTGAAAGGGGGGATGTCCGACATCCATAATTACACCAAAAACGCATATTGTACATGAAAAAGAATTGTTTGTTGATTTTTTCATGATTTTGTCTTTTAATTCATCTGCAACGTTTACAGTGAAAATAAATATCATTATTTGATATTTAACAAACTTCAATCAACATTCGTCACATGTAGGTTTGAAAGGGGGTGTCTTGATGAAAACTGAATTTAGATTTTTTGTAACACAGTAGAATAATCATTATATTGAAATGCCATCTTGTTAATCGAATTCTATTTCTTTTTTAACCTTTAAAGCAGTTCATATCAATGAAAGCACAACGAAAGTGTGCATGCTTCTCAGCACTAACAATATATTCGAGAAGTGATGTAAATCAGATGTGGATACCTAATACTCCAACGGAATTTTAGAAAATTTTGAATCCCAGAATTTTACCAAAATCAATAAATCAAAACGTACGACTTTTTAACACTTTATACAACCATTCTCCACGATAAATTCATCTCCAGGCTTTTTGACATCATAGACAGCTGCTTTTTCAATAAAGATGAAACTTGTAACTTTGCTTACCTTGTCACTGGTCATTTGCAAAATTATTTCGTTAAAAAATTCTGATTGTACACTTATGTAATATTAAAAAGATACTTGAATTCCTTATTGACAATATCTGTGTAGTTTCTGCAGATCAGACCTTCCAGCAATCTGTCAGTCACCCGCGTGGCACAGTGGTCAGAGCGTCTGCTCTAGAGTCGCAAAGTAAGGAGTTGATCCTTACGTCGCGGGTTCGAATCCCACTGTGGGACGTGGAGACCGGTCCTTCGGATGAGACCGTATAAACCGAGGTCCCGTGTCGCAGTAGGTGCTGGCACGAAAAAGATACCTCACTGCTCTAAGGCCGTAAGTGCCGAGTATAGGATAAAATTTGCAGCTCTCCACCGGCAAGTGGTGGCGTCTCCATATGAGTGAAAAATTCTCAAGAGGGACGTTAAACAACATACAATCAATCAATCCAACAATCTTTTGGGATTTCCTTGAGTACCAATTGCACCCCGTTATTAGCAGACCTATCTTTGTATAAATATGAATCAGAATTTATTCAAAAATGTAAACATGAGGGTAAAAACACATGCGGTGGACTTTAATTCGACATTAATATATATATCGACTACGTTTTATCAATTAAATATAGTTACTTCCATTCATATGTCGACTCGATATATCCCAGTGAATTTTAAATAAAAGATACCACAGAGTCTGACACATCTGTTTCATGTTTCGGATATTTTACTAGAAAAAGACATTAATGGTAACCTAACAACAAAACTTTATGATTAACGTGATGACTTCAACCTTTCTGTTGTCAACTTCCCTTACTTATGTAGCAATATACTCTTATTAACCTGCATATGGTGTTTATGTCTCCTAGTTTATTCGATACGCAAGAGCATGTTCTAAATGTACAATTTTTAAAAAAAGAAGCAAGCTATTGACAAACAAGTTGATAAAACAAGGATGTCAACAGTCTCGATCAAAGTCAACATTTTGCACGTTCTATGGATGATACAATGACGTTCTCAGCAAATACAATCTATCATTAAACCGAATGCTGACTGACTTTTTTTCATACTAATTTACATACTGAATTGTCCACGGATTTTTCGGTTTTCCCGATCATGACAATGAGCACACGGCGGGTGTGACAGGTCGACAGGGGATGCTTACTCCTCCATGGCACATGATCCTACCTCTGATGTTTTTAGAGGTCAGTGTTTGCCTTGCTCCAAATTTGTATTTTTTTTTTTCAATGGACTTTTGAGCTTGATTACTGTTCGTTATCACCATATTTCATTTTAAAAGATATACCGTAGGCCTGCACGGGTTGCGCATCTTTTCACTATCATACATAGAAAAGCAAGTGAAGAAAGGTAGAATGAGAACTGATTTTCATTAAAAATATAAATTCAATGGTATGTTGTAGAAACACATATTACTATATGCAAGTATTGTTCATTGCAAATTATTTACCAAAACATTAATGCATGAGAATAATCATTGCTTCTCTATTCAGAAACTTTGAATTGAAAGGTATTTGCGTTATGATTTTCAATCAATGTTTATGCCGTTTTGGGTAAATAATCACCAATGCACTTCAAAAGATAAATAATTAGTTTCAATTGTATGCAGTACTAAATGCACCTGAGAATAGATAAGCGGATTGAAATTCACTTCAAAACTATCATTCCAATCTAATTTTCTAGAAGGTTTGTGCTGAATCGTACTGCCCATTTCATTACTCATCATAAACTTTTTTGACTTGTAACAGACGGATATGACATTTATATATCCAATCTTCTAGTAGCAGATGATGATGATCGCTTCAATGATTAAAAATCACGAGGAATTATAAAGAATTATACAATTTATTCATTTTCAATTATATAGTCTAATAATATTACAGAAAAATCCTATTTAATTGGAAATAAAGTGCATCGTTTACATTTACAGGAATTTTATTGTCTATTACATGAAAGTGTCTATACTTAAGTAGATAGCAATATTTAGCTAAGAATAACTAGGCATATTGCTTAGAATGTTTATGCAACGGAAATAAAGCATGTTACTCAACTAAGAATATGCTTAGGAAAATTAAGCATATACTTTAGAAAATTCTTAGAATTTTTACGCATACGAATACTGGTTTCATATATCAGTAAACAATATCAGTATGCAGACCTTTTAATTTCTATAATTTCATTATCCTCAGCTGTACATGTCATGAACATTTTGTTATCAACTGTCCGTTAATGAGGTGAATCCAAGTTGATCTAAGGGTCCATTTGTTAACAGTACAATAAAGCAATCATAGTCTCTTCTCCCAATGATCTAGTAATAATCATAATACATGTATTTGTAATTTGTCTGTATTGTTTTCAATAATTTTCTTAAAACTTGATTTAGGTAGTTTCCCTGTTAAATTTTGCATGCACAACACACTTGTTGAATATCATTGCTGTGAAGTTTCAATAAGACTGTTCAAGAAATCTGAGAAATCTCCTGTGGTCAATAATAGCTTGAACAATAGCAACATTTCACCAACTCTGTTCTGAGTGACATGAATATATCGTCGAGTTATTATCAATTTACAATGAATACTAACGCAACAAATAAATAATATTATTCACTTATATACTTACAAAGGTAAAAGTGAAAGTGGCCTCAATTGAACTTAATACACAGACCTAATGCAAATTGAAAAGTATTGAAATGTTTCTATAGCAACGAAAAAATAAAATATTACGGAATAAATCCATTTGTTGGTAATAAGAATTAAATGAGGCTAAATACTTAACGAAATTTGTGTTTAATCAAAGAAATCTGTAATAATAAGAATTAAGTGAGGTTAAAACGTGAACAAAAATTATGCTTTGTTAAAGCAATCTGTACTTGTACATCAGGAACAATGAAAATTAATAAAAAAAAAATTAATAAATTCCAGTGCTTATAATTTTCATTTGTTTTTTTTTTAAATTTTGATTTGGTCTTCATATTAAAGAAAATTGCACAAAGTAGATTTACAACATCAAATTCGTTTAAATTTGTTCGCTAAGCAGATGTTGAAAGAAAATTTTCCATGCTTTGCATGCCACATTAACTGTCTGCCTATATAGCAACTCATTTATAGACTGGTAAAAATGGCAACAAAAGGTAGGCGGATTTTTCTTGCGCAACTGACAAACTGACAGCAATAAGTCACATATGCAGATTGAAATACAAGAGGTTTAAATATCCGTGTTAAAGATAAACTGAGTTTTCCTTCTTAATTCACAACTATGGATGGATTCTTCGTATTGATGACTATAAAGATCATTTTGGTACTTCTGCCCACATTTGTTGTAGCCTCAAAATCTGTTACACAGTTCTATGTAGAATATTGCAAGATTGACGACAAACTTGGTAACAGTTCTTTACTCGGAATATTTTCTGGAAATTCACGATTAACATGTGCTAGTGGACGCAATGAACAGTGTACCTGTATTGGGTATAACAGTAGATTAAAGAAATGTCGCATTCATGAACGATGTCCGTTCAACACCATGAGGAGACCTGAAGATGGATGGCAATATCTCGTGAAAAAAGGTAATACATGTGCATGTATTTCATACATTTTGAGTTCTTTTTACATGATTTCAGGAATCCTATATCAAGGGATATTTTACTGGGTGTTTCTCTCTTCCCTTCAGTGTTTGACTGTAAGGAACTGTTTGATAATGGTGTCACGATGTCTGGAGTATATACAATTCAGCCTGTGACAAATCAGCTCACCGATGTTTATTGTGATATGGAAACAAACGGAGGCGGTTGGACGGTACAGCTAACTAGATTTTTTTGAGTTTTATTTATTTATTTTTTTTTTTTTATGATAGTTGGTATTTGCTTGTTTTTATCATTTTATAACCAGCAACACTTTTTTACAACTTTTTTTTTTGTTTGTTGTTTAACGTCCCTCTCGAGCAGTGAGGGATCTTTTTTGTGTCAGAACCTACTGCGATACGGGACCTCTGTTAATACAGTCTCATCCGAAGGACCGGTCTCCACGTCCCACAGTGGGATTCGAATCCGTGACGTAAGGTTCAACTCCTTATTCCGCGACTCTAGAGCAGACGCTCTAACCACTGCGCCACGCAAGCGACTATTTGTAATTCGTAAACTGACCCAAATTTAATTCATTTTTGCTTTTTCAAAGATTGTGTAAATTTCTACCTTATCAAGAAAGTTGTGATCAATTAAGCTGCATTTACCATTCCGGTAGATTCTATGTTTTATTGATTGCTTCTTTATTAGGTACTGTTAAAACGAATCGACGGCTCAGTGAATTTTACTCGAAGTTGGAATGACTACAAAACTGGTTTTGGGGATGTCTTCTCCGAATACTGGATTGGTAAGGAAAAATTGGAGACGTTTTTTTTCGGAAGATGGATAATGTTAAATGCAAAAAGGTTTAACTTCGTCCCTTTTTTCTGATTATTTCTTTTAGGAAATGACTTCATTCATCACTTAACAAGAAATGATACTTCCAAGTTGTACGTCTCAATAACTCATGTGGACGGAAGAACGTTTTTTGAAAGATACAATACGTTTTCGATTTCCGACGAAGCTAATGGATATTCGTTGCATTTTGGAGGTGCCTTTGGAACACTTGGTATAGTATAAAGTTTTTACTCTTAAAGTTACGCTTATAAAACATCCATGTACCTGCTATAGTGATTATTATCGTGCATTTTTAAAAAATATGGAAATGCTTTCGGTGTAAATATAAGAATATCGCCAATTTAAAGACCGCTCGTCTTCATATTAAGACACTAAGCAATTGAAATTACTTATGAATTTATTCACTTATTCAGCACCATACATATATTTCAGAGTTTTGAATTTCCTGCATCCAATTGACACTTTTTATTTATATTCTTCATACTCTACCAAATTTTGGATATGTTGCACTTGTTGTTGCACTTGTTGTTTTCAAAATAAAGCATATAATGAATAAGAAATGCATCATAAATGGAAATTTTATAAAGATGTACTTTTGAAATCAGGCTTGGGGCGAATTACTTTTTAAAGTAATGCCCTACATTACAGACCCTGAAACGTGCTACTATCCCATAAAGCGTGCGACTTTCGTGCGCTTTTCGTTTCGTGCAAATCGTGTTTCGTGTAAAACGTGCAGCGTGTTGTGTAAGCTTCAAAGCGTTTCGTACAAACCGTGTAGCGAAGCGTGTGAGAAACGTGTAGGATTCATTCGGAAGTCCTTTTATTTTAAATATGGCTATTGTTGGATCAACATGTCATTCTGTGTTGTTTGTAACTAATATTATTCGGATATATCATATACCGGTGGTATTTTAAGAGTAAAAAAATACAGAAACAACAAAATAATATTACTCGGTAAAGTATTGCATATTTGTTTGATTTTCTTTCTTTTTTCTTTAAATAAAGATGGACAGTAAATGTGCTAAAAGTAATCAATTATATACACATCAATTTTAAGGTATTTTTAAAGGGAGCAATACTGAATATTTTTTTAAAGAAAATTCATTAGGAATCCGGCCTTGTCCTTTCCATTCATTTATTTGAATCTCTTCACCATTTTACAATTACGGGATATAGAGATTACAAGAACATATCGGTGATTAATAGAAAATAATAGATAGATAAGGCGGACCTGAAAAATAAAATGCAAAATTTAGTGCGTTGCTATAAAATGTGAAGTATTGGTATTCTAGGCTGAGGAGTACAGTTAATTGATTTTCTGTAAAAACGAACATAATTTTCTTAAATTACAAGATTGTGATACAAATAATTTTGAAACGGTAAGTCATTTATAGTTCATTTTATGCCTAAAATTGGCTGATTAATAATAGTCATATTAATGAATTATAATTCACATGCATCAGCAGATACAGGTTATACAGGGTATATACAAATTAGGGGGGGGGGGTGTGATCAAATGGAAACACAAACTGAGTTTTTCTTATAAACTAGTGTTTTATATATAAGTTTCATTTCAAAGAAAATTATTGCTTTTTTCGGGGTGCGCCCGATGCACCCCTTAAAAAATATATTGGAATCTTCTTTACGCTTTCAACACTCTTCCTACGACTGTGATCAAGGTTATTTACAAAGCGATCAGGGATTCCGCGTGCCGGGACTGAAAACTTGTTCTGCTATTATCTCTTGTCAATCATAGCTTAGATGACACCCGACAACAACGATTGATTTTTAATTCGTGAAATTATATGGTTTTATTAGTATTAAATGGTTACAAATAAATACCCGTGGATCTCATTTCTTAAATTTATCCGATTAAGTCTGTAAACTGTGAATTGATTTGCCAGTGTATTCGTGAATAAAAACAAGATGTGTTTGTGAAACACTGATGCCCCCGTATGGCAACTTATAGTAAAGGTTAAACTTTCTCAAATGCAAATCAAATATGTTGGTACATAAAATAAGGTCTTGTCTCGGGGAGTACATTTGTGATATATGAAAGCCTTAGCAACAACCATTGAATAGATATGGAAAAGGTTGAAGTTTTTCAAAAGTAAGTCAAACATCAAGGTCAAGGTCAAATGGTCAAAATTAATGATGCCAACAGAATTGCCTTCTCACAAGAAATACACAAGTGAAATATGAAAGCCGTAGCACCAATTGTTCAAACGTCATGGCCAAGGTTAAAGTTTTTCGACAGTAGGTCAAACTCCAAGGTCAAGGTTAATGGATTAGAATTGTTGGTATCCAAAGGAAGGTCTTGTCAAAAGGAATAGACATGTTAAATATGAAAGCCCTAGCACCAACTGTTCAAAAGTTATGTCCAAGGTTACAATTTTCCAAAAGTAGGTAAAACTCCAAGTTCAAGGTCAATGGTTCAAAGTTGTTGGTATCAAACACAGGTACTTGTGGACAGGACACCCCCCTCCCCCCCCCCCCCCCCCCCCGAATATACCCCACGGGTCAAAAAATATTTTTATGTATTTTTTTTCATAAATTATTCTTCTAGTACACATTTAAAATGTATTCCATGAGAAAAATCAAAAAAAAAAATAACGCAGATATAACGTTTTACTAAAAAATCATACCGTGGTATTATAAAATAGAGAAGGTAAGTCACTTCCATTTGTTTACCCCTCTTGGATATCAGGCCCAAAATATCATTTACCTAATACATGTCACCCAAATGTGTCATGATATCTTGTTTCGGTAGATATTTTTGTCTTTAATCGTGCTATTTAATTGCCCAGGCATTCCATAATAATCCGTCTATTCATCGTCAAACGTGAAAAATGCTACGAGATTTGGAAATGTCAAAGTAGAAATTACGGAAGTGATGCAAAAACGACACCTAGCGTGTAACTCTCGAGTTCCGAGTGTTATAGAATTGAGGGAAAAGCTAGAGGTCCACGAAAAATTTCGGGAAAATTCTGATAAAGAAGTCGAAATTGATTCATTAGAATTTAATTCTGCTTAAGATTTTCTAGATGAGCGAGGGTAGTCGTCAATATTCCCTTTAAAGGATGTTATCACTGATACCAAATAGCGTTTTAAAAATCGCTTGAAAGGTGGTGGGTACATGTATATTCTTTTTATTTGATAAACACAATGCCTCAAAAGAGAACTAAAGAATCATAATACCTATCCCCAGACTTCTCTACCATATAAAATTTTAATGATAAATTAAAGTTTAACTCTGTAATGAAACGGTATATTTACCATTCTGAATAAAGTGCATTTCATGAAGTACATGTATCGGGTCCCGCTGGAGATATGGATATCCTTTTTTTTTTTCCAATGGTATACCTACTAAAACAAGTACCCGTTAAATTTAGCCATGTACAGATTTGAAGATACAACAGTAAGATCTCGGTAATCCCCCCCCCCCCCCCCCCCAACTTTAAAGTTGGAATTTCTAACATAAAAAATTTACTTGGCGCTTATACGCTTCCGTACTAAATTAATCAAATGAAATTATTTTTTTACTAAGTTAAAAAATGTTTAAATCAATCAATAATTAAAAAGAAAAGAAATGAAAATCTATCCATTTACAGAATTCATACGCAATTTAATATTTTTTTTTTTTTTTTTTTTTTTTTTTTTTTTTTTTTTTTCAAATCAATAACTGAGTTTATTTGTTAGTAATAAAACGACTTTTTAAAATCAAACTACAATTGTAAAACAATTAAATGCTGCAAAAGATTACGAATTACAAATATAATTATTTTTTTCACTGCGTAGTTTAAAGTCTAGTGAAAAAGGTTTGTACACAGAGGATGATAAGCATTTCATCGGGCGGGTAACATACACAATCACAACTATTTATTAATTTCAACTGAACATTGAGTATTTTATCTGTTAATATAGTACTGGTGTAGCGAGTTCTAATCTTAATCTGAATGATTGCTATTCTTAACTAATCTTTGATTAATCCGTAATAATTTAATTAAAGTCCGAGATATTCCGAATAGAAAAATCAGATCGAGGCCAAAGCGTGTGAGAAACGTGTACAAAGTGTTTCCTGCAGGCTTTCGTGTAAAGCATTTTGTGTAAATCATGTAGCGTTTCGTGCAAACCGTCTAGAGTTTCGTGTAAACCATGCAGCGTTTCGTGCAAAACGTGTAGCGAGCATGTACCGTGCGTGCAGCGTGAAAGTAGGATAGAAGCACGTTTCAGGGTCCGTTCCATTACTTCTAGAATTTTGCATTGAAATTACCATTCCTCTAATGTCTAAAAGTAATGAATTGCATATCTATGACTTTGGTAAAGTAATGCATTACCATCATCATTACTTGTTTGGTTTTCAAAAGTAGAAATACAAAATCTTTGCAACTATTTCCATAATCAAACCGAACAATCAAAACTATATATGATGAATTGATTCAAGTTCGATTATGACGTACTTGTATTTATTATACTGTTAAAAACCTAAATATTTTTTTGTTTATTCATAAGAAGAAACTTTTTAATTGCCAATAAGATAAAACCGTGTACGAGGGTTGTTCGGAAAGTTCGTAGACTAGCGGATTAAAATTAAAAGCGCTCAAGATACATCAATGAATTTTTTTTTATTTAAAATTAATTAGCATCACCTTTTTTATTTATATAATAAACTATACATCACTAGTTATATTTTTCAATAAATTGTTGATGTTTTTGAAAGCAACGGTATGTCCAGGCGGCGCACCTCGAAGATTACGTCTTTTTCTACCTAAATGTAACTGAGAAAAAACTCTTTTTTTTTAATATGAGCATTTGTCATCCAAAAATGCCGTTAATTTACTCATGTGGTATGACATAATTGTACCGTAAAATTTTCAATTTTTTACTCCATTCTGTAAGTTCTATGAAATTTTATCGTAAATTTTATATGAAATGTCCAAACAATTAAGGGGTTGTAATGACGTCAGAAAAGAGGGTGGGTTTCTTTTTCATACATTCTATAAAGTTTCACCCCATGGGGAAATTGGCATAGACCTAGAATATATCTAAATGAGCCACTGAAAAATAAAATGCATTCAGAGTACTTGTTTTTAAATGCCGAAAAAGATTAGAGAGACGAGAGATGTAAAAGTTAATGTCGATTTGTAATAAGGGTGTTCAAAGTTTGTCACATCGAAAAGTGACGTTGTTCATGTGTTATTGATGTTGAACTCCGAGAAGCA